TACTTAGCGACAAAAGGCTTGCGAAGAAATAAACTATCACGTACAGAAGAACAAACTTATCAAACATGAAGCTGGAGGGTATGTAAGTTGACTTTCTTATATTATTTTTTCAAACTTATTCAGTATAACTAACCACTTTGTTGAAAATACACCGTTGCTCATTCTGGCTGCATCACCAATTTTGATCCATAGACACCACTTTGCGACCTGAGTTGCGGAGTATCAAAACGTTTTTTCGTTCTTATTTTCTTCCTCTGCTACCCCGCTGGCTATTTGTTATGTTCTTCTTTTTCCTCTCATTTTACTTCTCCGCATTAATGAAGAATTTTTATTTTTTCACTTAAGCTTTAAAATTGGGGTTTAAGAATCTAATTATTTTGGGACATATATGGACCATTGAAAGTTTTGAAGCTCAGAGGTGAATATTGTTATAACGTCAAGCACTCTCAACGATCAATTAGGTATTTTGGTTCATTTTTGTCAATAATTTACCTGAAGTGGAGATGTCACTGCAGCAGCAAATTGGCATAAGAAGAAGCAGTTTTGGATGAATTGAAGTGACTTAATCACCTCTTCCAAACAGTTGGAACTTTGGGCGAACCGCAGGTTTATTGTTTCTGAAGCCTTCCATAATAACAATTGAATTTCATACATACCTTAGGTAACTATGTAATTTCAAGTTTTAACATTTTTTATGTTCACCATGGTCCATGAAATCATGTAGAAGTGTATAATTCAACTTGGTTTTTATGTCACATATGTACCTTCGTCAATAAAGTCTCAACAAATGCGTGTCAGTAGGAACGTATAACGTTTTACTCCATTTATCAGTTTTCTTACTTATTCTTTCGCGTTCGGTATGTATACAAAAAAGATTATTTTAAAACCATTCTGTACCGAATACACCTTAAGTTACTCCTTTGTTGATCTATGTACCTTAATTTTAGGACGCAAATGTTGTTTTGGTCCTTGTTTATTTCTCAATAAATGACAAGTTGATGTAGTGTGGGATTTGGTTGGGATTGTGGGTTTTAGTTTTTGTGTGCTTTCCCTGTTCGCATTACATTTGTTCCGATCCTTCCTTGGACCTTGTGCATACTATGAACTCCTCTAGATCAATAAATCTTTCAATGAAAAGAGTAGTATTTCAATATGAATCTTAAGATATTTTTGGTGTACTTGATCGACATGGAGGAGCTAAAACTGCTGAGTCTGCAGCAGAGCACTTGAATAAGCACCTCAAACACATATATGTGTATTATGTACATAGTTATTTCTGATAATTTGTTGATTTTATGCGTTTTTTAAAATTTCTTGTGAATCCTGTCTCTCGCCCATGTCCATCTTGTTTCTACTCCACATAGCATATCATTAGGAGAAGTGTTTACAACTCTTCTTGGATTATTACCTTTGAAGTTTGCATGATGATTTTCAGGGTTAGATTTCAATCAAACATATACTTTTTGTGTTATATATATATATATATATATATATATATTTGTGTAAACTTATTTAGTGACTTGTCGTTGAATAACCAAATAGCCATGCACCTTTATGTTTTTCCTTTATTAGATATATGCATTTTAAGATCTACATATGTGCAGTATTTCCCTTGTGACCGCTAAAGAAACACTAACTTCTTCCAGCAAAATTTACTGGGCAGGATTGCCAGTGTCACAATTAACCAAGAGCCAAAAGTTCAAGCTGTGTGAAATACTATTAGTTATTTTGGGCCCCTTACTAGTATATATATACATACAAATAGTTCATGCTCAAATTCTGTTAGGCACAAAAAGTTCACTACTAGTGGTACTAAAATTATCTAGTAAAAATTGTTCTGTCCAAATATTAATTTCCACTGGATTTCGATATTACTTAACTACAATTTTAAATCACAAATTATATTTGCCAAAAAAATTATGCTTAGATTGAAGTTCAAACCTCTCGCCAAGAATCAAATCATGGCGATGCACAATAATATGTCATGTCATTTTCACTGTATATATCAATTTATGAATAGTAGTATTCTATATATTTAATAAAAAAATATCCGACGAAGCAATATCACATGACACCGTTGAATTTCGAAACATTGATGTCACTCTTACCAATAATTCATGGACATGACTTCTTCAAGGACTACTCTATAGAACAGTTTGTTAAATTAGGTCTTAGGCCTAACTCACACCCCAAGAGCTAGCTCAAAGGGAGAAGGATTGTCCAAGCATTATAAGGAGTCCACCCATCTCATTAACCACCGATGTGGAACTTTTGTCATTTTTTTAACACCCCATCTCACTCCCAGTGCTTAGCATCTGGTGTGTGGGTAATTTTGATTTTGGGGGCCCCAACATCGGGTGAGACCGGCCCTGCTCTGATACCATATTAAATTAGGTTTTAGGCCTAACTCACACCCCAAGAGCTAGCTTTTGGGGTGTGAGTTAAGCCGAATACCTAATTTAACAAATGTAGGGTTCTAGAAAAGAAACAATTGACCTTAAACAATCTTGATCATGGAACTAGCAACGAGGTTGTAGAATAGCCGTCATTTTGGAAATTCACAAATCATTAATGAGATATTATTATTATTATTATTATTCCCCCCGTCGCTGTACCCCAGAAGATCTTAACTTAACTCTTTTTGATGATTCAAATTATTATTCGCTTTTGTCTGTGAATAACGTGTATTTATCTTTACATTTCTCTGCGAATAACATGTATTTCCTTTTTAGATTTTTATATTTTCTCCAAATCTCATGAACAATTCTAAAAAAATATGAGAGCATAGAGTAAATTGTCAAACCTATTTAATTTTTTAAATTATATTTTCAAGCATTGCATCAAACATCTTGAAATAGCGAAAAGTGACATCAAATTATAAATTTATTGAATCAGATTACGTTATTTTATCTTTTTATTATTTTGAATCTAAAATTTGAATATTTTGTCCTTTAAGTTATTTATTATAATTACATTAACTATGCCTACTAAAATTATGATTATTTCAAATCAAAGTTGAATATAACTGATTTATTGTGATTATCCAAAACTTCAAAAATAAAAGAGAGAAAATTTGAAATTTAATTGCAATCTCAAGGAGTCGTTGATAAATTATCAATGACCAATAAAACTAGAAAATATGTTTCAAAGAGAGATTAAAAGAAATGAAACTAATTATTAGAAGAAATTGATTAGAGTTATTTTTAACAACTTCACATATATGAGAAAAATAGACCTTTCAATGAAATTATATATAATTTTTTTTTTAAAAAATTTAAGGCGCATTATTGAAATTTTACTATCGATTTTCATATTTATTGAGCCGCCCATGTTTACTAGTTCCTTTTCTATTCTTATTTGGGTGCCAATTATATTAAAATGACAAGATATTTCTAGACAACTATATGAATATAATAGAGAAATGACATGGACTATGAATAATATGTGTGAGACAAATCAAATCAAGCATAAATAGATGAACATTAGCATCCTGTGTTTATCACATGTAACAAGAAATCAACATGAAGACATTTTTTTAAAAAAAAGAAAAAAGACGTAAATCTGCTTAAAAATATTTTTAATTTTATAAACACTATAAAAGTGTGTAAACATCATTTTGACTTGTAATAAGTTAATTTAAATAGGTGCTCTTAGATATATTTTTTTAATTTCTTAGACTATATCCTTTAATTATATTAGTCGTTAATGACAGTTAATGTATATACTTAGATTGACTTGGACAATTGGGTCCGTCCTAAATCATACTTTTGCTAAATAAAATGTTAAGTATTAAAAAATAAATTTATTAGTATGATTATTTAATCGACTCACTAAAATATACTCAATATATTTTAAATTTATCCTTTATGAGTATTATTTTATTAATCCAATTACCATATCAACAAGTACCAAATAATTATATCAACATATATAGTTTGAAACACAAAACTCAAAATGAGGAATTCAAGATTTATTTTCTCATTTATCCCATAATTTTATATGCGTCGTTTTAAGTTATTTGATAAATATTTATATATTCTTTCAATTTATTACTTTAATTATTTTTAACCCCATACGAATTACGATATTACACCTAACCTTACATCTAGTGGACAAAGATTTCAACATGCGAAGGATATTATCAATTATCATAAACAAAGGTTTGATTCAAAATCAGAATATTTTAGCATGATAATTTTGGGATTAAAATTAAGATAATTTGTTCTATATTTTATATATGATAAATTATCCGAAATGTTTGATATAAGAATAATATATTTTACAGTTTTAAGCTGATATCTTTAATCAAACATGGAATAAATTTATTTTCAAATTTTTATTTCAGAATTCATCTTTTTTTTTTTTGGTTGGTACAATGAAATAAATAATCCATCTATTCATTGAACCGAAAAAGTAAGCTATGAACTTTGTCATTAAAAATTCATAGGAAATTGATTTTATTTTTAAAATTCATCGCAAATTTTTATGTTTTAAATTGTGAAACAATCTCTTATTATATGAAAAATATGTATACAATCAAATCAATTAAAAGCTCCACATCAACTATTAGTACTGGAGCAACTCTTCTTATAATTCTAAAGAAAAGATGGATTGTGATAGAATTTTATTCGAGAGTTGAATGGTGAATGCTTGAATCGTCACTCAATTTTTAATAATTAATCAATTAAATTATTTTATTTTTTAAAAGTCATTTTACTTTATCTATTTAGGTTTCAGGGTCATTTTAGTTGAAATTAATGTAGTTTCTTATACCTATTTAATGACCCAACAACTCCAATTTTTCTTTTTTAAAAAAAACTATTAAAGATTAAATTAAACTTGATCAATTTTTGACCCAACCCACATAAAATAGATTGACTATATAAGTACAATCAATTTCAATAGAAGAGGAAGCATCAAATAGTTACCAACTTATTAATTACCACCTCTCTATTAATTCTTTTCACAAATTCTAACCATCTCAAAATTAAATTCTTTAATAATTATGAGCATAGAAATTCATCATAACACATAATAGGAGAAAATGGAGATACAAATAGTCCATGCTCAACTTCTAAAGGCACACAAAATTCACTACTACTAGTGGTACTCGTAAAACTATCTATTAAAAATGGTTCTGTCCAAAAATTTCCAATGGATTCTTCAAATAATTCTTCTTGAATTATCTCACATTCTCCATCCATAATATTTTCCATATTTTGGTCAGTTGTAACACAAGAAGAAACTTCACTACATGATTCATTTGGTGTAATATTTTGGTCTTCATCACTTTTTTTATTGACATTATTATTGGCCTCTCTCTTTATTCCATTGCATGTTAATTCATGTTTTGATCTTTTCTTGAGAGATGTGTGCCAATGATTTTTAATTTCATTGTCTGATCTTCCTGGTAAGTGAATAGCAATCGCTGACCATCTTCAATAAAGTAAACAAAATTTACATTATTATTTTGTAAGGAAAAAACAGGAGGGGGGGGGGGGGGGGGCAGTTCAATATATAAAGCAAGTCGCACTTGATCAGGGGATAAAACAAATTAGAGATATTTGTATAGTTATAAATAATTTCATTAGAGATAAAATAATATGTTTAAAGTTAAATATATAAAAAAATAAATTAAAATCGACTAAAAAGAAATATATTGCTTACTTATTCCCAATTTCTGCATGAAGCTTCATGATGATCTGGTCTTCTTCTCTAGAGTAGTTTCCTCTTTTAATATTTGGCCGGAGATAATTAAGCCATCTTAATCTGCAGCTCTTTCCACACCTTGATAATCCTTCACAAGGAGAAAGACATCACTAATTGAGATAAATTAATGGATGTATTTATATTCATATTTCCGGCGAAAATTATGTTTTTTTTTTATATTATCAATGTATTATAAACTATTGTATACCTCATTGTTTTCAATTTTTGGCAATATAAAAGTGAAGTTTGATTAGATCCAGAGATAAGAGGCGAAAGGGGTTCATCTAAATTTTTCACCGAAAAATTACATTACATATATGAAGTCAATAAACATATTTTTCATATTTAGCTTCCTGAAGAGATGGTTCACTAATAAACGGAGGGATAAATTATTCAACCTTTCACTGAGATTTATTAAAAGAAAATTCTATATGTTCTAAGATGAGGTGTCATTTTTGTTTTGAATTTAAGTTTTATATACACCGTCTGTGTAGATAATTTTTTTACCAACTGATCTCACTCTGAGGTCATCTAAGATAAATCACTTTAAAATATGAGATTTGAAATTCTAAAATTAAAATATTTACATGCGCTACATCAGATAAAGATAACCTGATGATAATATAAAGTTATTCACACCGATAATATATATTATTTAAACTCGCTCTTCCAAAAAGAGAGGAAAAAAATGGAGATAAGAATTTGCAGATACTTGATTAAAGAAAATTAAAGAATAATAATAGTTGATTATATATATACCAGCAAACTTTGGAAGTTGACGCCAATTCCAACAGCCATATTTAGTAACATAAGCTGCTAATTTTTTATCTTCTTCAAGTGTCCAAGTACCCTTTTTTAATCCACTTTTTTTGTCATAACAACGTGTTCTTGCCATTTTTGTTCTCTCTTTCGTATTATTGTGTTTTTCCTTTTGTATATATATATATATAGATAAATAAATGTAATATTATTGTACCAAAAGATATATAAAGTGAGAAAAACGTGTAATATTATGTGAAACGAAAATAAATAAATAAAATGATAACGAGTTATAGATATAAAATAAAAATAAAAATAGGGGACAAAGTGATATTATCTATTAGGTGTGGTCCTTCTAAGAAGATTCATTTTGTGCATTATCTCTTTGTGATTCATATTTCAATTTGGTCCACACTTCTCAGATTCTCCAAGTAATATAATGCACCCACCATTAAACTTTATTCAAAATCGAATTGAAATTGATAATTTGAATAGAAAAAAAGTTATTGGTTTATCGGTAGTAAGTTATTGATTTAGCAATTTTGGTAATGGTTTTAATTTTTTATATTATCGAATTTTTTAACGATTTGAAATTATTTTTTATCGATAGTCCGATAGTAAGTTAATAAATTATATTTACATCAGTATATAAAGTTCTTGAACTGACAACCGACAACCAATATAAGTCAAACCGATAAAATTCCATAAACCAAATTGAACCGACAAATACACCGCCCTACCCCTCCATAACTTTGGTGATAGTCCCGTTTTAAATTATTTGTCATGTTTCTTATTTATAATCCACTTATAACAAAGTTGATTAACATAATTTTTTATTTATTTATGTCTTAAAATATAATCACTTCTTATTGAATATTTTATCTATTTATGTGTCGTCTTCCCATAATTGAATAATATTTTTTATACATACAAATATAAGAATAAATTAAAAACTCACTCATTTTTCTAAAATATACATAAAAGCTTTCTCACACACACTCTCAATCTCCTTCTCCCTCTTCTCTTTATACATTATTTGAGGTGAATTCGAGTGAGATCTTATAAACATGATAACTAATTTGGAACGAAGAAACTATAAAACATGATATATATCGTTTGTTGATAATTCAACGAAACAATTAATGTTTGATTTTTCTTCTGAAAATAGTTAATACTATAAATACTTTGTCTCATCTTGATTTTTGGTACCACTTGTGTTGCATACAGTGAATTGGTGTCTAGAAACATAAGTGAACTATAACAACTAATTTGGATCGAAGGGAATATATAAAAGTCAATCGATATTTTAATTACTCAGATGTTAAATATGCCAATTGATAAACGGAGTTGAGAAAGTCGTCCATGTAATGTGACAAAATATATATGCAGCCAAGTTGGGCTCCTCACCTTACATCTATCATTATAATTTACAGAAAAAATTATGGAAATCTCACTAGTTTAGGAACTAATTATTTAGATATATTCTAGTTTGTAATATTATAGATTTTACCATATCGATTTTGATATGTCTAGATACTCAAATACATTCAGGTACATGTATCTCAGGATACATGGGGTCAAAATTATGTGTAATTTGTTCTAGATAGACTATATCCAAGTGGATTCGCATGTATCTAGAATACATATATAACAAATCTTGCTAGCTACTCTCCTATGTATCTGGATACTAGATACATACAGATACATGTATCTAGTGTGTATCGAGTGTGATTCACTTGTATCTGTTGAGATACATGACTATCTTGCTCGTCTCCCTTCTCGTCTCACTCGCTTCTCCCTATTTTAGTGTATCTGGTAGCAAAAATACATGTATCTAGGTGTGTCCCTCAATATATATGGTAGAAAATTCTTGATTAGTGATGAGATGCATAATTATTTAAAACTATAGGTAGAATTAGCATATATGTATATGATATGAATGTATGTCTAATAAGATAATTTTTTCTAATTTATAAACATTGATAAAAAATTATTCCGGTTATTTTTACTTGTTAAACTTTAAAAAAATTAAAAATAATTTCTTATTTTTATTTTATTATTACTTCTATAATTTCAACATTTAAATGTCTTGTTATAAATAAAAATAATATAGTAAAATAAACATGCCAATTAAGTTCCTGTTTTGTTCCTTTTACATGAGTGACAACCTAGTTTGTTCTTGACTTTCTAAAACGTGATGCAACTTCATGGGTCTCATTATAGGACAAAAAGTTTCATACATAGAAGTAGTTCTACTATAGTAGAAACAATCTTTAATAATAATAGTTTAATAGCCGCTAAATACGTATGTTTACTCTTTATAAATGTTCCTACAATCTATCACAACATTAAACTGAATGAATTGTTATAAAATTTCTAAATCGAATCTATAATAATTAAATCTTAAATTCGATTCCATTCAATCATTAAAGGTATATATTGACCTGCCGTGTTGAAACTGTAGGAAGTATTTTTCAAAATTTGTGCAATAAACATTGAATACAAGCAAACATGCAAGCTAGCTATGAAAGTGAAACATGAAGAATTCATGTTGGACACTACAAAATTTTAATGTAATGACAAAGATACATGTATCAATGTGTTTAATATGTATCAAAAGTACTTATCATGATTATCAGAAATAATGGAACCCAATACTTAAAAATACTTGTCATTCGTCTCCCTCCCCAGAAATCTCTCTCGTCACTCTCCCTGATCTCGCTTTCCACTCTCCCTCGCCTTTCACTTTATACAAAAATAAATATATAAATTGTGTTTGTGTTTGTATAAAACGAGAGAAAACTGTATATACAAATACAAATACATATATTTTCCATCCTATACACTTATAATTATACAAATACAGATCTTCCCCTACCAGTTCTCTTTTGCCTTTCTCTCTTTCTCGCTTTATACAAACACAAATTGTACAAATTACAATGTATAAATTGTGTTGTATAAAGCGAGAGAGAGATTTGATATACAAATGTTTTATTTCGATTCAATTGTATACAAATTCAAATTTTATGCAGATATACAAACATAATTTTCATAGACACAGACGCCCTATTTATACAAATCGATGTGATTTATATAAATCAGATGCCTCCGATTTTATACAAATCAAAGTTGCCTGCGATTTTTATACAGATCTGATGCTCCATAGCAAACATAAAATTTGTTATGAAGCGCAATTATGCAAACTATAACTATAGCATACAAATATGAATTTCGTGTTTGTCAAACTTAAAATTTACTCTACTTAAAACATGTCAAGTTAGAAGTGGTAAAAGAATTAATTAAGTGGCAACTGGCAAGCTCTAAATTAAGATCTTTAATACCTAAACCCTTTATCATTTTAATTATTAAAGTTGTGGGCACTCAACCTAGCCTCCACTAATTTAATTTGTTATATATTCATTTTAAAGTGCTTTGCATTCTGATTAAATTAATATAGACAAATTTTGTCTAATTAAATTTATTCTTTATCATAATAAAGTAGCAGCAACTTTATTGCTCCCAAGAGTTTTTCTAAAAGAAAAACCAATTGTTAGACTTAGGGGTGGCAGAATAGGTAATTAATATGGGTATCCGCTCATATTTATTCATTTTAAAATAGGTAAAAATGAATAATACCCATATTACCAATTTAAAAGTGGGTAGTTAAATGGATAAAATGGGTAAAAGATGTGCATTCACACAAACAAAAAAAAGTGATAAAGGATGGGGTAGTAAGAAAATCTTTTTTTTTTTTTTTAAAAAAAAATCTATAAAAAAATGAAACTTTTTTTTACTTTTTTTTTTTTTGGGATGGGGGGTTGGTAGGGGGTAGGGGGCTGGTAATTTTTTTAAAAAAAATATTATTGGAAAAAATTTAAAATTTTGTAATTCTTTTTTTTGATTGGGTGTGGAGGGGGGGGGGGTGGGGGTAGAGGTGTGGGGGGGGGGGGCTGGTAGGGGGTTGGTAAATTTTTTTAAAAAAAATATTTAAAAATTTTAATGAAAAAATTTAAAATTTTATTAATTTTTTTTTTTGGATGGGGTGTGGAGGGGGAGGGGGGGCTGGTATGCCAAAAACTCACCGTCGACATGGCCACTACGTCCATCGGCCAGCCTCCTTTGATAGAGGTTGGCATGCCTCTTAAGCCCACTGATCAGAACAAACCTACCTATGCAAGCACCTTAGCCACACATGTCCAAAAGACCAAACCGTTGCCTCTTAAGGCTATCACGTACCTGCATGGAGAACCAAAGATAGTATGGGATGAGGAGGAAGTAGAGCAAATGATCATCAATGAGAAACTTCAATATGCTGTGATCGAGAAATTCTCATATGGTTGGCCTGATATTCAAGATCTGAGACGACTCACTACAAAAAAACCCCAAATTGCCAACTAATTTTACTAACAACTTAAGTTGGTTAGTATTCTTCTAACAAATTACCAACATATTTCTAACTAAATTATATTTTAAAACTTAACAACGAAATTCTAACAGATTACCAACCAATATCTTACTAACTAAGTATTTAAGTTGGTAAATACGGCGGGAAAAATGGCACCAAATTTAGCAACATTCTATCAATGGATTACCAACTGAAATATTACTAACGCACACCTTTTGTTGGTAATATTACAAACAAAGTATATATCGGTTGGTAAATATGACAAAAAATTGTTTATATAATTTATTAACATATTACCAATGAATTACTAACCAAACATTTACCAACGGAAAGATTGTGTTGCTAAATTTACCAACCAAATATAAATGTGTTGGTAAATTAGTAACGAAATGTAATTTGTTGGTAAACTTGCTAACCAATATCCAATTAGTTGGAAATTTTGCCGACGAATAAAGATTGTAGTTAGTAAATTACTAACATCATTAAAATAGTTGGTAATATACCAACCGATCATTAATCCATTGGTAAAATTTACCACATATTAATTATTAGTTGGGAATATTACATATGAATATTTAGTTGAATAGTAACTATTACCAACTGTGATAAAAATTATTGGTAAATTATTAATTACTAATTTATATTTGAATAGTTGGTAAATTTACCAATTGAAGTTAAATTTTTTGGTAAATTAGCATCTAGTGTTGAGGGTTTCATATTGATTAGTTTGTGTCGTTAGGCGTTTTAGCTTTTAAATTTTAGCCAAAACTTCACTTTGGTCAATATTTTTTATAAACATGCTCAAATTAGAACTCTGTCAGTGTCATTAGCTTCGAAAGGTCATTTTTGGTCTAATAGGAAGGTTGGTTCAAGTTTTGAGGCTTTCGTTTTTTGTTTGTGTCGTTAGGTGTTTTAAATCATATATTTTTGTCAATATTTTTGTGAACGTGCTCAGATGAGAATTCTGTCAGCGTAATTAACTCCAAAGGTCATTTTTTATCTAATAGGATGGTTGGTTCAGGTTTTGAGGCTTTCATTTTTAGTGTGTGCTGTTAGGTGTTTTAACTTATAAATTTTGGCCAAAATTTAACTTCGGTCAATATATTTGATAAACGTGCTCAGATGAGAATTTCGTCAGTGTAGCTAGATGCTGAAGGTCATTTTTTATGTAATTAGATAGCGGGTTCGGGTTTTGAGGCTTCCATTTTTAGTTTGTGTAGTTAGGCATTTTAACTTTTAAGTTTTGGCCAAAATTTCACTTTAGTCAATATTTTTGGTAATCGTGCTCGAATTGAAATTTTGTCACCGCAGTTAGCCATATAAGTTCAGTTTTGGTCACATAGGATAGTTGGTTCGGGTTTTGAGACTTTTATTTTCAGTTTGTGTCGTTAAGCGTTTTAACTTTTAACTTTTGGCTAAAATTTGAATTAGGTCAATTTTTTTGGAAAACATGCTCAAATTGAAATTTCGTTAGCGCGGTAAGCTCTGGAAGGTCATTTTTCGTCTTATAGTATAGTTGGTTTGGATTTTGAGGTTTTCATATTCAGTTTGTACTGTTAGGCGTTTTAACTTTTAACTTTTGGCCAAAATTTGACTTTGCTTAACATTTTTTATAAACGTGCTCTGATGAGAATTCGGTTAGCGCGATTAGCTTCGAAAGGTCATTTTTATATCTAATAGGATGGTTGGTTCATGTTTTGACGCTTCCATTTTCAGTTTGTGCTGTTAGGCATTTTAACTTTTAAGTTTTAGCCAAAATTAGATTTGGTCAATATTTTTGGTAAACGTGTTCAAATTAAATTTTTTGATGTAATTATATGTGTCATATTGAAATTAATTTAACTTGTTATCGTAGATTTAGAATTGTTTCATTCAATTATGATTTATAAAATTGATACTAATAGTTTTAGATTTATGTTCGTGCTCTTAGACTTTTAAATGCAATAAATTAATAAATTTTACTATTGGATAATCATTCAGTTAATAATATTTTGAACATATTTTCAATCAATTACTAACCTAACATTGAACCTGAATGATACATTACCAATAAACTAACTATCAATTTGTAAATTTATTAGAAAAACAAATAATCATACTAACGTATTTAAAATTTATTACTAACAAGGGTTGTGGTGGAGTGGTAAGTACTTCTTCATCCTTAACCAAGAGGTCTCGGGTTCGATTCCCCTTCGGTACGGAGTCGCCTTTGTTATGGAGCGCAGAGGTCTCAGGTTCGATTTCCCTTGGGTACGGAGTCGCCTTTGTTAGGGAGCACTTTACCCCACAATATGGGACTTTCCGGCATGAATTCGGATTTAATCGGGCTCCAATGTGGGTACCGGACCGGATGGGAAACAAAAAAAAAAAAAAGTACTTAAAATTTATTGGTAAATTACCAACATAAATTTTATGTTACTAAAATTGCCAACCAATTACCAATGTATCTAGAAAAGTTTACTATCAGACATTTGTTACTATAATTACCAACGTATTACCAACGGAATCGAATAATGAAGAAAAAAATTTCCCAACTCCTTTTCAATTCGTTAGTAAAGGTACTAACGATATACTAACCAAAAATTAGTTGGTGAATTTACCAACGGAAATTTTCAAGCCATGTTTCAAAATTTTGTAACAACATCTTTGGGTGTTTACCAACTGCTTTTTGGTTGGTAAGTTTACCAACAAATTAAAATCGGTTGGTAATATTTACCGACGAGCCTTTTAGCAACGGATTAATATAAGTTGGCATTTGGTTGGTAACTCAATTTGCCAACCAATTTGATCAATTTACCAACGAATTTTTTTGTTGGTAATTGGAGTTCCTTTTGTAGTGACTTATACCAAAATAATGTGAACTCAAAGGAGAAGTAAACATAGGGCTACTTAGCAATAGATACTTATTGATTAGGGCCTCATTGTTGGAGGATTACGTGACTCTTCTGTCAAAGCCTCAATTTTACATCACTCATAATTATTGGTCATACCCTATGAGGACTTTGAAATGGGAACCTCGATTTAATCCAGATGAAGAAACTACTATTGCAATCGCATGGATCTCATTCCCTGCACTTTCGCCAAATTTTTTTGGAACAAAAACTATTTTCTCAATGGCGGCAGCAGTAGGAAAGCCATTACAAGTTGATATGGCAACCAAGAATAAAACCCGCCCTAGTTGTGCAAGAGTGAAGGTGGAAGTGGATCTACTTGGAGAATTCTCAAAACGTATTAATGTGGGAATGAAGAAGAAATCAAGGGAGGTTTTTGAAAGATGGGTGACTATAAAGTATGACTATATACCCAAATATTGTAAGACATGTAAGTTGCAGGGGCATAATGAGGAAGAATGTTTCATTCTACATCCAGAGTTATACCCAAAGGAGGAAAAAGAGGGGGAAAGAGATAAGCAGAGAAAAATACAAGCAACGAATCACAGAAAATCAATGTTTTTAATAGACACAAGGAAATGGGGCAGCAACAGAAAGGTAAGGAGAATGAGGATAATGTTAATCATTTCAAGGAGCAATGGAAGAGAACAGAGAACAGAAGAGGAAGGATTCTTTCAGAGTAGGTATGGAATCCAAAGAGGAAAGAAAACAATGAGGAACAACAGCTGATAACAACAAATAAATCTGATGCATTAGGGGAAGGAGGAGAAGAGGAATTACAGGAAAAGAATGAGCTAGGGGCTAGCAAGGACATAAGGAACAACAAGATAATTTCCTACTCCAAAAGGTTGATGCTCATAGTAGACATGATAAGGAGATAGCAAGCACTAGCTCAAAGTCAATGCAGAAAGATAAACAACATATACCTTCAAGAGGGCATAACAACAGTGATTCAAGTATGGAATCACCCAAGGAGATCTCAAATTCAGAAAGTACACATATAGGTTCTGCAATCAGGGAAAAACATAGGGAGGAAAAATACACAGACAATGCTGAAATGAAATTTAACATGGAGAACAAGGAGGATAACACAATTGTACAAGAAGAAGAACACCACAAGGTGAGAGGTACACCAAATGGAAAAACTCCCAGAATAGACAAGATGCAGCTTATAGAAGTGAATAAAAAGCAAGATGAAGAGGAAGAAGATGACATGGAGGCATCCATAGAGCAAATATGAAGAAAATGAGATTTGTCACCAAGACAAATAGGGCAACTAAAAGGTAGGCACAAAAAGAAATACAACAATGCAGTGCCTCTGCAAATAAATATAAGAACCGGGAAGGGAACATCATCCTCCAGTGATCAATGATTAGCAAATTAATTTTCTGGAACATAAGGTCAGTAAACTCTCAAAATGATTTTGAGAGGTTACTTGATCTTAACAGGAAAAATCATTACTCATATATAGCTCTCTTAGAGCCTTTTCAAAGTCCAACAGAGATAGAAAATTATAGAAGAAGACTTGACAAACAACATGCTAGAGCTAATTGTTCAGCCAAAATTTGGATTTTCGGGATGAAAATTGAGAGGAACAACATACAGTAGACTCAGTACAACAACTAACCATTAGGTTTAAACATAAAGGAAATCAGAATGTAGTAAAGATAACTGCAGTATATGCCAGATGTAGTGCTTTGGAAAGATTAGATTTGTGGGAGGACCTTGAAGACATTGCTAACAATACAATATGCCCATAGATAGTAGGAAGGGATTTCAACACTATCATGCATGAATCTGAAAAGTTAGGAGGACTGCCAGTTACATAGAATGAAACTATTGATTTTATTCAGTGTATAAATGCATGTGCACAGAATGAATTGAAGTTTACAGGAAGTTGTTACACTTGGTGGAATGGACGAATTGAGGAGGACTGCATTTTCAAAAGACTAGATAGAGTTTTTGGAAACAATGAATTCATGAACACTTTCCAAGGAAGTGAGGTTCATCACTTGATAAAGGAAGGGTTTGAACATGCCTCTTTACATGTGAGGTGCAATAATGTACAGGAGCAGATCAGAAAACCATTCAGATTCTTGAACTTTTGGGTCAAGCACAAAGATTTTGTTAAAGTGGTAGGGGAAAGTTGGAAGAAAGAGGCCTAAGGTTCACCTTTTTTTATTGTTTAACAGAAGCTCAAGAGATTAAAGGGAGTCTTGTTGCAATGGAGCAAATCAACTTTTGGGAATATATTCCAACAGGTAGCCACATTAGAAGATGTGATAAAAGCTAAGGAAGCTCAACTGAAAATAAATCTAACCACAGAAAATAGGATTGGTTTAAAAAAGGCAGAAGCTGACTTAAAAAGGTACATCCACATAGAGGAGGAATACTGGAAACAGAAGGCTAGAATTAGGTAGTTTCAAAATGGAGAAAGAAACACAAAATTCTTTCATGCCTATGTATAGGGTAGAAGAAGGAAACTACATATTTCAGCAATACAAACAATGTAGAGGGATTTAATTTCTTCCACAGAAAATATTGGAGAGGAGGCAATCAATGTGTTTAGAGAACAGTTTACAGAAACAAATGAACCCACAGACTACACCATGTTGGAGAATATTCCAAACATAATATCCAATGAGCATAATGAAGAGATAGAGAGGCTACCAACAGAAGATGAGGTTAAAAATGTGATTTTTGCTCTAAATGGGGATAGTGCAAGTGGTCCGGATGGATACTCTGGTCAATTTTTTCAGAGTTGTTGGGAGATTGTGAAACAGGACATCATTAACATGGTAAAAGCATTCTACTGTGGAATGGAGATGCCAAGGTTCATTACACACACAAATCTGATCTTAATTCCCAAAATGGAGACAATGAACAATTTTGGGGATTTAAGACCAATTAGTCTTAGCATCTTCACCAACAAAATTATTACAAGAATGCTCCATGAAAGGTTGGTTCCAGTTCTACCAGTTATTATATCAAGGAACCAGTCAGGATTCATAAAAGGGAGGAGTATAACTGAAAATGTCCTACTGGCTCAGGAGATTGTGAGGGATATTAATGGGAGGAATAAATTTCACAATGTGGTGGTGAAATTGGACATGGCAAAAACATATGATAGGGTATCCTGGAAGTATTTGGTAAAAGGACTAAGGAAATTTGGGTTCTCAGAAAGAATCATAGATATGGTGGTAAGAGTGATCTCCAATAACTGGTACTCAGTGAATGAATGGGGAGAATTTTGGTTTCTTGGTGATCATTTGTCACCCACTTTATTCATCATAGCTGCAGCCAGGAGCCTCAACAAATTATTTAAAGATCCAGAGTTTAAAGGGTATGGCATGCCAAAATGGAGTCCTGAAATTAATCATCTATCTTATGCAGATGATACCATTTTTTTCTATTTTGGACAACCTACCTCTATGAAGAAGATGATGAAGGTGTTGAGGAATTATGAGGCAGTCTCAGGACAAATGATTAATTAATCTGAACAAAAGTTTAGTTTACTTGCATGAGAAGGTTCACATTGATATTTGTAATAAAATCAGGAGGATCACATGCATAATCAAGGCTCCTTTCCTTTCACCTACTTAGGTTGCCCTATTTTCTATGGAAGGAAAAATAGAAAACACTTTGAAGAATTGATTAAAAAGGTTATGAAGAGGATCAGTTTGTGGCAGAATAAATTGTTATCTTTTGGAGGGAGGTATATACTAATAGCTCATGTGCTACAATCAGTTCCTGTGTACATCCTGTCAGCCATGAACCCACCTGCTGGGGTTATAAATTAGCTGCATAGAATATTTGTCAAGTTTTTTTGGGCAAACACAACTGGATCAAAAAACAAGCATTGAGTGGCATGGGATAAAATATGTAACCCTAAAGAGAAATGAGGTTTGGGTCTGAGATCATTACATGATATAGCAAATGCTCTATTTGCAAAGCTCTGGTGGAACTTCAGGACTTCCACATCATCATTATGGACCACATATATGTGGAATAAATATTGTAAGAAGCATCATCCTATCATTGCTCAAGGTTTTGGGGCATCACATGTGTGGAGGAAAATGGTTCTAATTAGAGAAGAGGTGGAGCATGAAATATGGTGGCAGATAAAGACAGGATCTTCTAGCTTTTGGTTTGATAAATGGACCAAGTTAAGGTCCCTGTACTATTTGGAGGAAGAGGCAATGGAGGAAGAGATTGAAGTAAAAGAGTTTATTACAGAGAGAGGGTGGAATAGGCAACTATTATGGGTGAAATTATCTATTGAAATGACTGATCACATCATGGATAACATAAAAATGACAAACACACAGTATGGCAATGATGTATCTTGGTGGATGGGCAACACACATGGGAGGTTTACTGTAAAGTCTGCTTGGAATCTAATGCGAAACAAGCATGAGATGAGAAAGGAGTATGAGTTGATCTGGAAAAAGGAGCTCCCCTTTAAATTCAGCTTCTTTATGTGGAGGGTGTGGAAAAGAAGAATTGTAACTGATGACAATCTGAAAAAAATGAAGATTAACATAATATCAAGATGTTGGTGTTGTCAGAACAAGAAGGAGGAAACAATGACCCGCTTATTTCTAACAGGCCTCATAGCAAATAAGCTATGAAGGCACTTTGCTGATTGTGCAGGAATAAAAATAGAAGGAATGCTACTACAACAGATTATAATAGCTTGGTGGGAACACAAGACATCACCAAAGTTACAGGAAGTTTACAGAGCCATACCAGCCATTGTTTTATGGACTATATGGAGAAGGAGAAATGCAATCAAACATGAAAATAACATCAGATATGAAGAGATGGTGAACCAAATTGTAGGAGTTGTGAGACAACTGATAAAGCACAAGTATCCATGGATAAAGAGAATTGAATGGTCATGGCCAGACATAATTAGCAGATTAGGGAACTATAAACCAAAGTTACACTACCTCAATGTTACCTAGAAACCTCCTGACAATAGGAGAATAAAATGCAATATTGATGGGGGCAACAAAGGTAATCCAGGTTTGAGTTCGATTAGTTATTGCCTAAGAGATAGCCGTGGGGATTTAATATTTGCAAAATCAAGGGGAATAGGAATTGCTACAAACATGGAGGCAGAATCATTAGCAATCCTAGAGGCCTTAAGAACTTGCAAGGAAAGGAACTTACATGATGTTATAATCGAAACTGATTCACTCAGTTTGAAAAAAATCATCCAGATGGAATGGAAAGTACCTTGGGAACTGGTGGAGAAAATAGAGGAAATCAGAGACATCATACTTCTAACCGGTACTATAATCACACACACATACAGAGATGGCAATGGTCTGGCGGATTGTATAGCTAACATTTCAATTGAAGGACAAACAAATCATGAAAAAATTTAAAATTTTGTTAATTTTTTTTGGATGGGGGTGTGGAGGGGGGGGGTAGAGGGTAGGGGGTGGGGGGGCTGGTAGGGGTTGGGTGGTAATTTTTTTTATTACATTTTTTTGGGATAGGGGGTAGGGGGTGGAGTGAAGTGATAAAAAAACTTTAATTTTTTTGTTTTAAAGCTTTTAACAAGATTTCTATTATAATATGGGTAATATAGGGACACACCTATATTCTAGTTTGTAATATTATAAATTTTACCATATCAATTTTGATATGTCAGATACTCAAATACATTCAGGTACATGTATCTCAGGATACATGGGGTCAAATTATGTGTAATTTGTTCTAGATATACTATATCCAAGTGGATTTGCATGTATCTAGCATACATAACAAATCTCGCTCGCTACTCTCATACATATCTGGATACCAGATACATACAAATACATGTATTTAGTGTGTATTGAGTGTGATTCACTTGTATCTGTTGAGATACATGACTATTTTGCTCGCCTCCCTTCTCGTCTCACTCGCCTCTCCCTGTTTTTAGTGTATCTGGTAGCAAAAATACATGTATCTAGGTGTGTCCCTCAATATATATGGTAGAAAATTCTTAATTCGTGATAAGATACATAATTATTTAAAACTATAGGTAGAATTAGCATATATGTATATGATATGAATGTATGTCTAATAAGATAATTTTTTCTAATTTATAAACATTGATAAAAATTTATTCCGATTATTTTTACTTGTTAAACTTTAAAAATAATTTCTTTTTTTTATTTTTATTATTACTTCTATAATTTCAACATTTAAATGTCTTGTTATAAATAAAAATAATATAGTAAAATAAACATGCCAATTAAGTTCCTGTTTTGTTCCATTTACATGAGTGACAACCTAGTTTGTTCTTGACTTTCTAAAACGTGATGCAACTTCATGGGTCTCATTATAGGACAAAAAGTTTCATACATAGAAGTAGTTCTACTATAGTAAAAACAATCTTTAATAATAATAGTTTAATAGCCGCTAAATACGTATATTCACTCTTTATAAATGTTCCTACAATCTATCACAACATTAAACTGAATGAATTGTTATAAAATTTCTAAATTGAATCTATAATAATTAAATCTTAAATTCGATTCCGTTCAATCATTAATGGTATATATTGACCTGCCGTGTTGAAACTGTAGGAGGTATTTTTCAAAATTTGTGCAATAAACATTGAATACAAGCAAACATGCAAGCTAGCTATGAAAGTGAAACATGAAGAATTCATGATGGACAGTTGGACACTACAAAATTTTAATGTAATGACAAAGATGCATGTATCAATGTGTTTAATATGTATCAAAAATACTTATCATGATTATCAGAAATAATGGAACCCAATACTTAAAAATACTTGTCATTCGTCTCTCTCCCCAAAAATTTCGCTCGCCACTCTCCCTGATCTCGCTAGCCACTCTCCCTTGCCTCTCTCACTTTATACAAACACAAATATATAAATTGTGTTTGTGTTTGTATAAAGCTAGAGAAAACTGTATATACAAATACAAATACATATATTTTCGTCCTATACATTTATAATTATACAAATACAGATCTTCACCTACCAGTTCTCTTTTGCCTTTCTCTGTTTCTCACTTTATACAAACACAAATTATACAAATTACAATGTATAATTTGTGTTGTATAAAGCGAGAGAGAGAGAGAGAGATTTGATATACAAATATTTTATTTCGATTCAATTGTATACAAATTCAAATTTTATGCAGATATACAAACATAAAGAACATATACATATACAAACACAATTTTCATAGACACAAACGACCTATTTATATAAATCGTTGCGATTTATATAAATCAGATGCCTGCGATTTTATACAAATCAAAATTTCCTGCAATTTTTATATAGATTTGATGCTCCATAGCAAACATAAATTTTGTTATGGAGCGCAATTATACAAACTATAGCTATAGCATATAAATATGATTTTCATGTTTGTTAAACCTAAAATTTACTCTACTTAAAACATGTCAAGTTAGAAGTGGTAAAAGAATTAATTAAGTGGCAACTGGCAAGCTCTAAATTAAGATCTTTAATACCTAAACCCTTTTATCATTTTAATTATTAAAGTTGTGGGCATTCAACCTAGCCTTCACTAATTTAATTTGTTATATATTCATTTTAAAGTGCTTTGCATTCTGATTAAATTAATATAGACAAGTTTTGTCTAATTAAATTTATTCTTTATCATAATAAAGTAGCAGCAGCTTTATTGCTCCCAAGAGTTTTTCTAAAAGAAAAACCAATTGTTAGACTTTTGAACTTCTATAAATTGAGTATCTTTCCTTCCTACAACTCCACAACAACCTAATAGCACCTACAATGTAATCATTAGAAAAGTCACGTTAAGGAGGATTTTTATACTTTCTTTTATATTAATTTTTTTATATTATATATAAGCCAACTGATATATCAAACCTCGTTATATTATGCCCTTTTATTAATAATAGTAATTTGCTTATGTCTAGTTTATTATTTTTCAAGATTTGCTTTATCAACTTTCGCACATCACCTTGTTGTTTGGACCCCAACACCCATCAACGTGATTTGTGAGATTTAAACTATACACTTAAAAATTGCAACTATTTAGGCCAACACTAATTTTGTTCATTAAAGTACTTTCCAAATCCAATATTTTTTTTATACTAAAATAAGAGAAGAAAGGGGCCAGCCGGCCAAGAATGTCCAAACCCTACCAAACAAACAAAGCAATTTTTTTTTTACCTTTGTTCTATAGCTCTATATAAATTGAATCACATATTTTCATGTGTCCTAAAGCTTTTTTTTTTCCTCAACAAAAAAAAAAAGTCAATGAAGAGCAAGTTCTTTCATTGTTTTCGTCCCATTGTTGAGGATCAACCTACTTCATGTATTATCACAAAAAGAAGTGAGCAAAATGATCAATTGGTTAGTCTTTCTTCATGACAATCTAATAGTCTTTTTTCCTATTATGTGTGTCTAGTTTGTGGATATTGTTACTGTTAAATTAAACTGTGTGATCATCTCATCTCATGATGAGAATATATTTTTATTTAAAACATAAGTTACTTAGACTGATGTTGGTGATCTCAAAGGGAGATATCTGAACATGGAGCTACTTATCTTAATCTTAATCGTTATCAACAACATTTGAATTAATTATTAGAGATAATACACGTTTATTTACTTAATTATATCTTCAACCGTCTACCTACCGAGTCATAACTAAAATCATGACTAATGATTGCTTCATTTTTGCAGTTTGAATCGAAAAGTAGTAGGGGAAATAGAAGAGACAAGTTCTTCAAAGGATTAAATGGTCAATCAAGCAAGAAAAATGAAATTACTTCAATTGGCACTTTATGCAAGGGAAATAAGTCATCAAAAAAATATTCATACAACCATAGAGAATCCCCAAGTGCTTCAACATCATGCCATGATGAAAACAAGAAATCTAGCACAAGTGTTCATTTGATTATTTTCACACTATTTGTGACTATTTATTTTGGTAGGGTTTTTGCTATATTTTTAACATTATTATGGATTATATTGTTCTCCATAATCCCCAAGTCAATTAGTGATGTAGATGTGAAAAAATAGAGCTACTATAAATGATCATGATGTTGATTTATTCTTTGAAATGAGAAGGTAAAAATAACATACATTGTACAAATTAACATAGTACATCAACATTTCTTTTGCGAGTTATTTTTACATACTTCAAGCCGTTCAATTCTTTTAGGTAAATATGATATTGTAAATTTTGTCCATTAGTTTTCATTCACATCTGGGGTAATTATATTTCAATGTCTTTCAGTGATTTAGTTTACAAAATATCTAGTAAATATATATATTTATAACACAAACATATATAAAAATCAGTGTGTAAGTTTTGTATATTTGAACTAATGTCCTGCCAAAAATAAGCAAAATATAGGTAATGAACTAATTCGAATAAACTAAATGTAAATTATTAAATTAGCTTGTTGCACCTAACATACATGAGGACTTGATAAAGCACGTTTCCTCTGCCGATCTCAATTTTTTTTATGGGTCAAACACGTGGAAATTCTTCATTATTCTTAATTAGTGATTTAAATTCTGGATAGTTATCTCTAATACAAACACTTTATCCTCCAAAGTAAAATTTTCTGACATAAACCCAAATCATTGGACCTCAAAACGAATATT